AGCCTGCAGGAGCTCTCCCGGCTCGTCCCTGTGGAGCCGGCACATGTCCCCGAGCCCGTCCGGCGGTGAGTCCCCTCCACAGGGCCAGGGGCTGGGGGGCTCATGGGGGTCCGGCCACGGATGCTCTTCTCTCCCTGCAGGCTGGAGCCGAGCTGGGATGGCAGCTGGGACGTAACGCGGTGACGGGGATGCACAGGGACAAGCGGCGGCATCGGGGGCTCTCGGAGTGCCCAAAGCGCTCCCCGAGCACCCACGGGTGAATAAAGGACGTGGACCGAAGCGTGGTGCCCAGCCTGTGTGTGTGGTCTCGGCTTCTCCTGGTGACTTTGGCAGCCCCAGCAGCAGAGGCGAGGCGAGGAGCCCTGGGCAGCTCGCGGACGCGCTCCTCGGGCCAACACAAGGGTTTTATTTCAAGGGTGGGTTGTTTTTCCCAGGGGAGGGAAAACCAAATCAAGCATCGGCACTCGCTTACCAAGGCCGAGCGCACTGCGGGGCTGGAAAAGCCCAGCTCTGCGCAGGAGCATCCTGGCGTGGCATGGACCGTGGCAAAGGGGAAAGCCTCTGCTGCCCGGCCATGATGCCCGGCACATGCTATTTAATGTTTAATCCCGGCGCTATTTAAACTATATACACCCGCGCCCGAATTCGGGAGCCCGAGTCCCTCCTCAGGTCGGGCCCCGTCCTGCCTCGGCCGGTGCCGGTGCAACCCTGGTGGTGATCCCGAGCGGAGGTGACCCACTGCGGTCCTGCCTCCGAGGCAGTGGAGGCTGCCTAGTTGGTTTTTTGAGCTTAAAAAAAAATATTATGCTAAAAAAGAAGGAAGGTGGCAGTTTGCCGGCGGTGGAAATGCTGGCTGGAGGCACCGTGGGCTCGTTGATGGTGTCGGCGCTGAGCCGCTGCCGGTGAGACACTGAAGCATTGTGGTTTAATCCCGGTTTTGCTCTTCTACGCCTTTCCGGGAGGGTGCCAAATCGGCCTCAGCATCAGGACCGGCCTCGCCGCAATCCCCCGGGGAAACCAAGGCACCGCGGCCCAGCGCCGAGAGGGGCCCATGGGAGACACCAGTGTGGAAAAAGGGAAAATGGGGAGGATTTGGCACATCGTGGCTGTACCCGGCAGCTCCTGCTGCGCTTCAGCTGAAATCCTGGTCAGGCATGAGGTGGGGGCCGCCGTCCCCGCTCCCTCCCCGCGTCACCACCACGATGCCTCCAGAAGGAGGGATTTGCTGGGGGGACGACCGAAAGCCACCGGGAGGCGGGCGAGGATCGCTCTGCATAAATTACCGCGGGGTTAAAGCGCTCGAGGTTGGCTTCGCCGCCGTTTGGGGGATCAGGCAGTTCAAGTTTGGGCTGAAAAAGCCAGGAATCTGCAAAGTCCAAGAGAGGACAGGTTACGGAACTGCACAAGCC